GTTAAGGTCAGAGGGAGCGAAAAATTTTCAAAAAAAAAAATCTTTCTCAACTTTTCTTTTCATCACCCTCCTCCCCGCCCTCCCAAAAAAAACTTTACTCTGAAATCTTCAAACGAACAAACAAACAAACCTTTTCATCCCTGTTCCCGACAACAACAACAACGACAACCAATCAACACTCAATTATTAGTAATCTTAAGCAATTAAAATTTAATATCGGGTAAAAGTTATGTAATTTTCACATTTCCCTTACCCCCTTACTCTCCTTCCCTCCCTCCCTCTCTTCCCTGTCTGTCACGTTCTTATTCTTATCACTGTCATTATCACCGTCATTTCCTTTTTCTTTCATCGATGTTTTCGATATCTCGAACGTGAAAAAACAATTAATAATATTAACGGCTTCGAGGCATAAGGTACGAAATCATTTGAATTGACATTTAATTATTATAATTAAATCCCTTTTTAAATATTAATGTAAAATCGTTTCACAGGGAATTTTCAATGATGTCAATTTAATTGTTTTGGACTCTCAATATATATAGGTATTTAATGGGATTAAGATTAATTTAACAATTTTGATCGAGATCTCTCTCTCTCTCTCTCTCGAGTTTGAAAGATTTTACACTTATATCGTCACTTTATCATCAAAATATTTGAAATAATAATAATAATGAATAATTCGCAACTGATTTCCGTTTTGGCGCCCTTTTCAAAAAAAAAAAAGAAAAAGTGATATATGATGTGTCGTAAGTGTGCAAGTGTTTGTTCGTTTGTAATTTTTTCTATTATTGTAAAAATAATGTTTTTTTATTATTATTATTATCATCATTTTTTTAACAATACAAAAGAAAAGAAGAGACAGGACAGAGAAAAAAAAGAAAAAAAAGTACGAAATTAGTCGACAACACGCAAACAACCAACTACTGACCAGTTGAGTTAGTTAGAAAACAATCTTAGGGAACGTCATTGTTAAAAACATGAATAAGATTAAGGGGTGATGTCAAAAAAGGAAAAAAGAAAGAAAAAAAATTTTTTTTTTAATCTTAAAATCAATAAAATATTATTAAACGCAAAAAAAAAAAGATGATGGTAATGAGAGAGAAAGAGAAAGAGAGAGAGAGAGAAAGGGAGATGGAAAGAAAAGAAGAGTAAGAGAGAGAGTGAGAGAGAGAATGTAGAAAACATGAAATAATCGCATCACTCATATTTTTTTTTTTTTTTTGTTTTTTTTTTTTCGTTACTCACTAAACCACCCTTAAGTTTCTACATCCCCATTCACATTTTTTTTTTTTTTTTTATCGGCTCTTGTTCTAATTCCCTTTTTTTCTTCCCAACTCTCGACCGCGGATTTTCTACCCTTCGACGCCCGGAAAATCATCCAGCCCGTCGTCTTTCCAACACTGTATTTTTTTTTTTGCTCTTTTCGCCACCCCTTCATCCCTCTTCCCGTTAAAAAAAAAAAAATCATTTCCTTTAAAACAATCGACGTTCATTCACGTTAATCTTGTGAAAACTTTTTTTTAAATTCAACTGAGGTCAAATCGTTTCGTTTGCTTGCTTTTGGCATTTCACCACCGATTGTTATTGAATGTTTAACATTATTTACCCTCCCCTTCCCCTCCCCTTTTTAAGAGGGTTAGAGTTCACACGCGCACACATGCATTATTTCAAAATTTATTTTCTGCTTTATTAAACTTTTCTTACATTTACACACATTATTTCCTTTAACAACGAATGTCATTTTATATTTTCTTTTAAAAAAAACGAAAAGGTTTAAGACGAGTTAGCCAACCTTTGAAAGAAAGAGTTTCGGGTCATAAACCGCAAAAACGACGTTTCCGCCATTTGGCAGCTGACGTTGTCGACGATCTAAGTCGAAAAAGCAAATGGGCCACTCGATTCTTAAATCACGCGATCGACAGAAAGGAAGTTTGTATAAAATAAAACCGATAATTGGAGAATCAACCGGAACCGGAAACGCGTTTCAAATATATTTTATTTATCAATTGCTATTGTCTTATCCAATCCCACTCGGTTGAACCGACGGTTCTTTAGGTCGACAAAAAAAAATTTTTTTTTTTTTTTTCGTTTTCGTTTTTTTTTTGGGAATGGTTTTTGGGAACGCGCGCGTACACACGCACACGCATTCGCACACTCTTAAATTTTTTTTAATTCGTATGAATTAAACGAAATGGATGCACGCACGTTACACACACGAATATTATTATTATCAAAACGGTCCATTATTATTTATTGCCTAATGTTTTCAAAAACATGTTTTGCGTGTTGCATTTCAAACCTCCGATGTGACGCAGCATTTTTTAAACACAATTATTATCATTTTGGAATTTTTTTCGTTTGTTTATAATCAAAATGGAATTTTAAACGAGAGTAACATGGTGTGTAGCCTCGTTTTAATAAATCTCGCTCTCATTTGAAAAACAAAAGAAAAAATTCCCAAAATCGAAATTCGATTTCCGTCGACGACGACGACGACGTTCATATTATTGAAAAGTCGCGAGTTACAAACACACACACACATATATTTATTTTCAAGGTCAAGGTGGTTTTTTTCAACTGGCCTCCTTATCCCATCGATGATGATGGTGGTAGTGGGTATAATAGTGGTGGTGGTGGTGGTGGTGGTAATGGTAGTGGTAGTGGTCATATTAACAGAAATCAGATTGCTGGAGTCGGAGAATATTATATTTTTCTGAAATAGTAATAAGATCGGAAAGATATTGTTTGTTATGGCTTTTGTTCCCTTTTACTGTAATTGTGTCACTAGAAGAATTTATTAGTTTAAAAAAAAAAAAAAAAGTTTTTTTTTTGCACTTTTTCGATTGCTGACACGAAAGTTTTCATCGACGCGCAAAAAAAAAAAAAATAAATAAAAAATAAACGCGGATATGATTTCGTATCGATAAAGAAAAAAACTGTAGTAAGTTGTGTATCGAATGAGATCGTCTATACAAAAGTAGTAGCAATAGTAGTAGTACTGTGCGAAAGGAATAATAATAATAATAATAATTCGAGGGCGAAAACGTAATTTTTCGCGGTTTGAATTTCCGCAGATTTAGATTACACAAAACGTTTGTTCGAATTTTGCGGTTTGTTTAAGACGGTAAAACAATCGGATCGTCGGGACTCTTTGATTTACAATTATACGTCGTGAAATCCTTTCACGATGATGTTAAAATTTGAGGGAAGTAAAACACGGAGCGAGAAAATCAAGAGAAAAGCAAGAAGAAGAATAAAAAAATAAAGTAAAATGTTTTTATTCTTCTTCTTACAGCTTTAACAGACTTGCGACAAAAAAAAAAAAAATAAAACATCGACACGATAGACACAAGCCACGACGAATCCTTTCACGGCTTTACGCTTAATTATGTGTGAAAACATTAAAAATAAAAAATAAAAATGTGGTCTGCTAGCCGTAAAGAGTCGTGTATGGTTTTACGTTAATTACGTCACCGATCGTGCGAAATTTTAAAAATTTTTTGCGACAAATTACCGCGCGAACCGCCTTTTTTCGAGTATGTTTAAGTACCCGCGTAACCTCGTCTTAGTTTCACGACGAAAACAATTTTTTTGTTGTTGTTTAATTTCAATCGATGATGATGCAGCTGCTCTTCTTAATCATTTTTTAACTGCAAGTATGGCGCAATTAAATTTCATTTTTTTTTTGTGTGTGTTTGTGCAGTAAATTATTATTATTATTATTAAAACTTCTTGTTTGTAAGACCTTGGCACGATGCAATTTTTTTTTTGTTTTTGTTTTTCGACCGTTACGCGTAAGCAGTCGTAATTTTTGCTACGCATCATCGCAATTATAAATTCAAATTCTTACCAAAAAACTTTCATTTTATAAAACATCGATCGATTATTATTATTATTATTATTATTATTATTATTATTATTGTTTTATTGTTTGTACAACATCCGGTAATTAATTTCCTTGTGAACAATTATCATTTCGTGTGGTGTGTAAGTGCGAGAGAGTTGGTAACTCTTGCACCGATAATAATTCAAATTCTGGCAAATTTATTACGACATACGAAAACATCTGTTTACCTATACTTAATCAATCAGACGTTAAATTATATAATAATTATTTACTGCGGTGCACATGTTACGTAAAAACAAAAACAACCAACAACCGATGGCGTCGTTTAAACAAGTGCAACAACAAAAAATTTAAAATTTTCGACTTCGAAAAACGGTCATTTAAAGGAAAGAAAAGAAAGAGGAGGGATGTAGTAAAATCTACAAAAAAAAAAACGGTCAAGGTAGACTAAATACGGACAAATAAAAAAAAAAAAACTTAAAGTCGAAGACAATAGATGAGTGCGTATGCACACGCACACGCACACACACACACACACACACACTCGCACAAACTACTCAGAGTCTTTCGATCGTTTGTGAACGTTTCGTGAAGCGTGTCGACGATAACCTTGAGATATTGAAATATTATCGGCAAATTACAGTTCAGAGAGAGAAGACATCGGGGAACAAACAAAACAAAAAACAAACAAACAAACGAACAAACGAACAAAAAATCATTTTACTCATCCAATAATATAAAGACAATTCGTTATAGGCGACACGGTACCGTGAACAACCAATTATAATAAATGGCAGGTACGACGATGTTTATCTTGCGGCGTTCCAGGTTCGTCGTCAGCCGTTTCCGATTCACCTGCTCTTCCGACTCTTCGAGCTTTTTTTTTTTTTTTCGATTTGATTGTAGTAATAATAATAATAATTATTATTATCATTATTAGTATTATTATCGTTATTGTTATGTGTATGTACGTTTCGGAGAAAAAATTATTATTAATATTTACATGCGTCATTATTTAAAATTTTCAACAAAAAAAAACCGGATATGTAATGAGGTCTTAACCGTCGCGCGGTCATTTTAAATTCATCGATCGTTTTCGATTATTTTTGATGTGTGCTATAATACCCCCCATCCCAACCCCCAATTTTATCGATTACAATAATAATGATGATTTTTTAATTACCTCTTTGTCTTTCGATGCCAGTTCTCCTTCGAAATTATTCCTAGATATTAATTCTAAGGTTTGCTGCTCGCAATCCGCCATTTTATTGCTTAGCAGCTGTTGTTCACCGGAATCCAATTTGGTTTGATTTTTCGCAGTGGTCAACTGCTCTTTCAAAGCATTTACTTCTTTTTCTGCCAGTGTTGCTCTCTGTAAAAAAAAAAAAACGAGTACGAATATTAATAACAATAATAATAAAGAAGTATATTGATTATTATTATTATTTTTCTTTCTTATTGAAAATGTCGAAATGCAAAACAAACAATATTCACGATCTCTCTCTCTCTCTCTGTTTTTTGCCTTGGTATCCTTCATATCGTTCTAAGGGCAATTTTTAATAATTTACTAGGGGTGGGGAGGGAGGGGGGTAAATCTGGGGGTATATACGCGTGGCGTAATGACTTCGTAGTGATGATGGAAATGGCTTTGTCGGCATATCAGCAAAAGTTTTAAACCCTCTTCGAGTTATTACTTTTCCCAGTTTTTTAAATATAGTAAATTAAATTTTTTTTTTTTTTTTTTAATGTTTATTGTTGAATTTTTACAGCGCCTTTGAAATAAAATTAAAATTAAAATTTACACGTTTTAAATTTCAAAATCGAATTTTCTATGACAATAATAATAATAATAATAAATAATCTCAAAGCGACAGAAACAAACAAATTTTTTTTTTTTTTAAACGTTTCTCCGCCGACCATTAAAGAACATTTTGTTCTTCGTCAAAAAAAAAACACATTCAGTTGAGCATTTCCGCCGTGACGATTACCAAACAAATTATTTTACTCGACGACAACAACAACAACAACAACAACAACCGACAGACTTTAAAGGAGGGAAGTAAAAAAAAAAAAAAAAAACAATGGACAACGAATCGATTATTATTATTATAATATTTATTTTATTTCAACGTCTTCTTTCTAATCCTTTATTATTATTATTATTATTATTATTATTATTATTATTATTATTATTATTATTATTATTTATAGTTTGTGTGCTGTTAAAAGCCAAATAATATTAGGGCGCCAGTCAATTAACATAATTACTTAATTATTCGTTTTAAGAGATATGAAAACTTTCACAGCTGTATTAAAAAAAAAAAAAAGAAATAATAATAATAATAAAAATATTTTTTAATAATCCGACAGCTTGTATGGGAAGCTTTCAAAACCAGCAGTAGCAGCAGCAGCGGCGGCGTTGCCAACATTGTCAAACATCAAAACTGACAAAATATATTTTTAAAAAAAATTGACTTATTGGTATTTATATTTTACAGCCGGCATATTTAAAAAAAAAAAAAAACATTAAGAAAAAGAAACATCTTGTCTTTTGAAAATTTTAAAAAATTGTGACAATGTGCTGTGATCAACAGGAAAATACCAACAGCAAAAGAAAATGAAGCTCGATCGAAAGCTCTTTTTAAATTTGATGGCAATCAGTCTTTTCTCATTCTTTTTTTCTTTTAATGACGTCATCGTTAAATGACTAACAGTCTTTGAATCAGCCCTAACGTTATTAATCTTTCTATTTTTTTTTTTGTTTTGTTTTCGCTTCGTGTAAATGTGCGTGTGTGCGTGTGCGTTCAATGTTTTCGGATATGATTCAAAGTTTAAAAAAAAAAAAAAAAAAAACTAAAATATTCGTAGAAACTAATGAGAGGGGGAGAGAGAGAGGGAAACAATCAAATTTCGATGAATTAAAAATTATTCGAAAGAGAATATTAAAAAAAAAAAAAAAAATTATTTATCGATGTGTTCGTCGTCATTTAATAATAATAATAATAATTAAAAATCGTCAGAGTAAAGGACAGTAGAAAAAAGGGCAGGCAGGAAGTTTAAAGGAGAAGGAAAAAAAAAAAAATCCAGGGTGGGAACATTTTAAAAATTTAATCCCACATTGTAAGAAGTCACTAATAGATTTGTTTTAATGGGTTTTCGGATGTAAAAGAAATCAATGGGAATGGGAGGAGCTGATCGATGGACCATTGCAAGACGTTTCCTTTTATGGTAATTATCCTTTTTTTTTTTTTTAAATAAATTTCATACCATCATCATCATCATCATCATCGTATTAATTATTTCTATAGATATATATGTATTTTTTTTTTTTTTACTTAAATCGTGCCGCCGTTTTACGGTCTCGTAAAAAAAAAAAAAAAAAAAAAAAATGCCGACGCCGAAGATAAAAATTTTAAAATTAACAACGAAATTTAAAATCCACCCCTAAAATCAACTTCCGGTCATTATTATTATTATATCGATCGTTTTACTTTAATTTGACGATTCGTTATATAAATATATTAAATAATATACGTACCATAGTTCGTATAAAAAAACAACATTTCGAACAAATCCGTCTTTTCTATATAAATTTATTATTATTATTATTATTATTAAATAAAAAAATAAAAACGCGCGCGCGCACACACACACACACAAGAAATAACACAAGAATGGGTGTCAGCATTCGACACTGTTGCTGAATCGACTATTATTTTATTTTCTCGTTTTATTATTTGTCGTTAACCAAAGTAATTCATTCTTCTTCCTCTACCATCATCCTTCCCTCTCTCTCTCTCTCTCTCTCTCTTTCTCTCTCCTGGAGGAGTTTCATTTTTCTTAATGCCCCACAGCTCGATTTGGTTGTCGTTAGTATGAAAAAAGGAAGGTAATACCGAGTGTCAAGGTCTGCGAGACAAACATAACGCGAAAAAGAAAACATGACTATTGGTTGTCCCAACCTATGATGAACATGACGATTTCAATTTTTTTTTTTTTTTTTTTGACTTTTTTTTTATAAACGTAATTAGGTCAGAATGAGAGAATTAATTTTTTAAAATTACGCATTCGTGTAAAATCTTACATTGATGATGATGTAAATGATTACTATTATTATTATTATTATTTTAAATTGAATTTGATGTAATTACGCGGGAAAGAAAACACGACCGATCAATTGGACATAAAGACCACGACGACGTAGTTGGGAATCACCACCACCACCACCAACTTAACAAATCTTATTTATGAAAGAATATTTATAATGTTTTTTTTTCTTTTTTCGTGAATAATGTTCGATGGTAAACTGGAATGACGAAGACACAAAGAAAAAGAGAGAGTGAGTGAGTGAATAAGAGAGAGAGAGAGAAAGAGAGAAAAAAAACAAATCACTGTCTTACATTATTAGCAGAGTTAACATCTTTTCTAATCATCCATATCAAGCCCGGAGTTGCGTTGCCGAAACATCAAATTAACTATAATGTTGCGTTTCGGATCATCACTCAAAACGATTACGGCATCATTCTTAAATATTATTATTATTATTCGTAAGATGATTTCGCATATTTTCGATTCGACCCTGTTTCGACATTCAGTACTCATTCGTAACGACAATTTTCGCGTAAGAAAATTTTTTTTTTTTTTTCGACATCGTCAATTTTTCATACACCAAAAAAAAAAATAATAATAATAATAATAACGAGAAGACGTTTTTTTTTTCTCCAAATAATTTAAATGATAATAATAATAATAATTCGCATTAATCCCGATTTAAAATTGGCAACGAAAGAAGAAAAAAAAAAAAAAACTTTAATCAAACATTAAGGGGTTTTTTTTTAATGGGGTGGTTGAATGAAAAAAGAATGGGAATAAAAATGGTAGTTAATCAAATTAAATGTAGATGGCAGTAGTGTAATTTTAAAAACGTCGTTTGCTTTAATATCTAAACAAAAAAATAATTCAAACGATGCGAAGAGTGGAGGAGTGAGGAAGATGAAAATGAAATCGCATAAACACATCGTTAAAAAAAAATAATAATTTTCTTTTCGTTTTTTTTTTTTTTTTTTTTTTAAATGATTGACGTACCGTTTATTATGTGCGTGCCGAACCGTGTTTTTACAATAAAAAAAAAAAAAAAATGTATATCCGTGGAAAACAGGTGAAAATGGAATGAAAGAAAAAATAAATTCATTAATCGAATTTTCATTTATAGAATCTTCAAACTCCTGACACGTAACCGATTAGGAAAGAGAAGAAAAAGAAACAAAGGGGGAGAGGAAGGGGGAGGGGGACCTAATAACGATTAAAGTTCGATTCAAACAAACAAAAAAAAAAAAAAAAAAACGTAAATTTTTATTGTTAATTCTTCTTTCCACGCATATGCATCATCGATGTGTATTAAAATGACTTACAACCAAAACACACACACACACACACATACGCACACCCACCACAACATACATCCACAGACGCATAAATCTTTTTTTTTTTTTTTTTCTGAAGCATTAATGGCATTAAAAACGGCGGAAAGAAAGAAAAAAAAAGATACATATATATATACACTAGAGAGAGAGAATGAGAGAGAAAGAGAAATAGAACATCGTTTGTATGTGTGTGAAAATGTAGTTAGTGATCGGAGAGAGGAGTACTAAAGGAAGAAAGAGAGAGAGAGAGAGAAAGAGAGAGAGAAAGAGAGAGAGAAAAAAAACAACATGGTAAGGGCTATTAAATGTCATGTGAAAAATATTAACATCATATTGAATTCCTTAAATCATTTCGAAATCAGACGATCCCGATAGGTAATTAAATGTGAATATCACATGTGGACAAAAATTTATTAACTCACAAATAAATACCATTTCACAGAATAATATTTTATATAAATCATTCGGATTTATCATCAATAATTAATGTAAAACAGATGTAATACATTTACTTTAAAAACCATATTTCGGATCGACTTACAAAAAAAAAATTTTTTTTTTTTTTTCTATTCATTTTATTATTTATATATCGAAATATAAAAGGATCATTAAATTTTGTTTCAATTAAAAAAAAAAATTTTCTCTCTCTCTCTCTCTCGTCGTATCGAACGCGTCGTTATAATCACTATAACATTATCATCATTATCATTATTTAAAAATAAATAAGAAAAAAAAGTATATAATGCAGCACGTAATGTGACTCGAGGGTCGTAAAACCAAAAAAAAAATTTGTTTTAATACTTTTTTACTTTATGTAAACTTTTGTTTTTTTTTTTTTTTGTTTAAATAATAATAATAATAATAATATCGAGTAAAACGTTTTGGGTCGTAAAATGATTTATGTAATGCTATCAAAATATTCGTAGTAAACGTAACAAAAAGTTAGTTATCATTTTCTATATATAATACCAGAAGAATTTTTTCAATGAGTTTTTGTCATGAAAACGTAAACGATGAGAAAATAAATAAATAAATAAATTTTTGTTTTTTTTTTTTTACGAGCAATAAAAAAATTTTAAGGGATGATTTCGTAAAAAAAAGACAAGGAAACGTGGTGGGAAGGGGGTAGGTTGGTTGGTTGAGAAATTAAAAAAAATTTGTGTGGTTAAAAAAGAATTTGTCGATGAATATTTATATTGGAAAATTTTTTGATATAATGATAATGGAATGAATGC